TGTGGTATCTAATAATTATACCTTCACTGCACTCTTTTTTGGCACTTGCTAAAAGCATTTTTAAAAGGCAAGCCTACCCAGATGTTTAGAAAGCTGGTGTGAGTAAATAAAAAAATAAAAACATCTCCAACAGGCCCAGAGGAGGGCATATTCAGATGTGCTTAGTTCTTGTGGTAATCCACTGTGTGAGACTGTTTGCAATGTGGAGGCAGCTACCTGTGGTTCCTGCATTGCAGGGGGTTGGACTAGATGACCCTTAGGGATCCCTTCCAACTCTATGATTCTATGAAATGAAGACTGTCTTCACATGGAGCTGATGCAATATGCTTACATGTGCGATGTAGGAAAGTCTAATCTTGGCATGCAAGGCAGCAGAAGGAAATCAAGAGAAGGTTTTTATATGCAAGCAAGACAAGAAACATTTCATCACAATCATGCACCTCCCACCACTGCTTACAATTTTCAGAATGACTTATCCTAAGCACTTCAAAATAAAGTGATGAGTATTCAGCTAGGCATCCTTTAAAATACACTGAACCGTAAATAGCTTTTATATCTTCTTGAGGGTTCTCTTTACCCACCCCCTCCCGACTCTTTCTCCATCTCTTTGGAAATATCTCTCAATGGCTTGGTGGCAAAGTTTAATTTCTGTTTTCTATTTGGCAGGCAATGCATTATTATAGTTTTCTCCACACCGAAAGCCACAACAAACACACAGCTCAATTTAACCCTCCCTTTGTTGGTGCCATAGCATCATTAAGGATTTCCAAAAAGGAAAAAACAAGTATTTTTGTGCCTATTATGAAAGGAGGATGCAAACATCTAAAGACAGTCTGTGTGATTTATGCATTAGTCACTCTTACTGAGGAACAAGGTAACAAATCATTGATGTGCTGGACCACTGTCTTGCCATGGTAATGGACTGGATGAGAGCCAATAAACTGAAGCTCAATTCAGATAAGACAGTGGCACTACTAGTGGGTAGTTCCCAGGATGGGAGGTTGCCTGCTCTTGATGAGGTTACATTCCCTCTGAAGGAGAAGGTACAAAGCTTGGGGTATTTCTAGATCCACTGCTGTCATTTGAGGCTTAGCCAGCCTTGGTGGCACAAAGTCTGCTTCCTTCAGCTTCGGCTGGTGGCCCAGCTGCACCCCTATCTGGAAAGGTATAGATAGATTACAGATGTTATAGGTGGATTTAGGGGAGCACAATTGGTTCAGTTGCACTGGGCACAAAGCCTCAGGGGTGCCACAACTATGATTTAGAATGAAGCGCATGAGGATGCCAAACTTTGGAATTGCACAGGGTGGTGCTGAAATTTGAGAGCCCAATATCCACCACTGAACATGTTATATGTGGGGTTGGCCTCTGAAGACTCTTCACAACAATTTTTGACAAAACTCATACCTCTGAGATAAAAGAAGCCATTTCTAATAGATTTTGAGGTACTGAAAAAAAACGACAATGAAATTGCAAAATGGGCTATTGTTTATGAGAGTAATAGTTTATTATATAATGAGGAATATGAACATACAACATGTACCAGTAAAAGCTAACTTCTATGTCCAACGCCACATTGAAGACGGCTGAACTAGATGCCCAGCTCTACAATTCTGTGATTCTGTATCAGATTTCAAGTCACCTTACTGCATAAACCAAATGCAAATCCCTTCCCCAAGAAAACAGCGAATAAAACTTCAAAACAAACTAAAATTTGCTTAGTTAACGCAGCAGCATTTATTTAAGATAGAAGTTGATGAAATTATGCAAGGCATAATTCTCTCACTGGAACTTGTGGACATCCTACAAAGCTAAATGTTGGAAGATAAAGGACAGACAAAAGGAAGTCCTTATTCATGCAGTGCATAGTTAAACTGTGGAACTACTCCCCCAGGAGGCAGTGATGGCTCTAAAAGAAGATTAGATAGCTTCATGAAGGAGGAGAAGGCTATTGATGACTACTAGCCAGGATGGCTATGCTCTACTACCTCTTTGATCGGAGGCAGCAAATGGTACTTCAGCAGCAGCAATGGAAATCACTGGGAGGGTGGGCAGGTGGAGAAATAGAGTTTTCCTCTTGTGCTAAATTCCTTCCTGTGGTTTTCCTCAGGGGCATTCTTGTTTGCCATTGTGAGAACAGGATGCTGGACTAGATGGGCCATTGCCCTGATCCAGCAGTCTCTTACTGTAAGTTCTTAAATGCTTTACTTCCCCATATATTTTGAAATTGGCCCCTGGAGATTTCCTGTTGCTGTCTTTAGTAAGGAAAATGAAGTTTAACAGAATCAGTTGGAAGACCAAACAGTGATACTAGCTCCCCTGCCTCACTTCTGTACTGGCAAACCTTGAGAGCAATACAGCTGAAAGTCTGATACAACTCCAGGAAACACAAACATCCTGTCTGTGGCATTTGATCTATGGCAGCTTATTTGCTGGCACAAGTCACTGCAGGTGGCAGCAGGCATCCAACTATGACCAGATAAGTGGCAATACATATATACATAATTTGATTTGTATGCCACCTTTCCATGGTTCAAACCATGCTCAAAGAGGCTTACAACATGAAAAAACCCACATAATTACAACATAACAAAAGTAGTCAAAATACACAAACCAACCAATTTCCAAATAAATCACAAGATCTAAGATAAAGATACAAAAAAATCCAAAGCAAGAACCCCACCCCCAACAACCCCCAGCCCCTATGATATGATAAATATTTATTGCATGAAACCACAGGCCATTGCAAGTATGACAACCACACAGAAACAAAGCCTGTGGAGCTGCAGGCTCCAAACAGCCTGATATTTCAACAGCCACAGACAACATGAGATCCAGTGTGGTGTTATGGTTAGAATGTTGGACTAGGACCTGGGAGAGCTACTCAGACATAAAGCTCTTTACATCAGACATAAATATGACCTTGGGCCAGTCCCTGCCTCTCACCCTAACCTACCTCACATGGTTGTTCTAGGGATTAAATTAAGAGGGGGAGAACCATTTACCTTGAGCTACTTGGAGAAAAAGGTGGGATATAAATGCAAACAAACAAACAAACAAACAAACATTATTTGGGATAGAGTTTACTATCATCAGTTCATCCATCAGATACCTCCTGCTCCAGAACTGTGCCAGCTGGTCATTATAAGAACAGCTGTTTAGAAATTGGTGCCTGAGTTTTGATTTCCCTCTTCCCTTCTGGTACCTTTCCCCTTATGTGTTGTGTCTTTGCCTCTCTGAATCTCTGTTTTTTGGTCCCTTGCATTTCATAAACTCACCCCCAGTAATGTGTTTTGTGCACACAAGAGTCCAGTTTATCTAAACAAGCAGGGCTGCATCCGAATGCTAGTTCTACACAGAGTAGACCCACTGAAGTTAATGAACATGACCAATTAGGGTTCATTCATTTCAGTGGATTTATTCTGAGTAGGATACCACCTATAGTATTTTGTGTCGATTTCAGAATGCATATTCCCCTCCCACTTCTTTTGAATACGCGCTGGGACTAAATTCAAGGTGACCAGTTTCCCGATGCCTCAGTGATAGTGGCAGGCGATCTAAATGCTAGAACTGGTCAATCTGATGATGCTCTATATGCACACTTCCATGAATTATCACCTACCCTAGAGGAAGCCCATTCAATACCAATTAGACACTCAAAAGACAAGGGCTGCAATTATGCAGCTCTGTGCCTACTGCGCTTGTCTAATAAGCTGGACTTGGTCATACTGAATGGCCGCGCCAAAGGGGAGAAGGCTGGAGAATTCATGTTCATTTCAAATGTAGGCACTTCTATAATTGATTATATTAAGTGTCATATAACCTTCTGAATAGATCCCTTGAATGTAGGGTGGAGAAGCGAGTAGACAGTGATCATTTACTGCTTTGCCTCCACCTTGATGTAAAAAGGGACCTATTCTGTAATGACAAACTTGAACCCCCCAGGCCTACCAACATGGAGCTGACATTTTCTCATATTAGATGGTTGGATTAGCTGGATAAGGAAATTTCTAGGAAGCTAATCTCAGAGAAATTTCTTATTAAGAGAGATAACCTCTTAAAATCTTCATGCCCCGAAACAAGAATGGACATGTTTCAGGATTTGATGTTACTTCTTCAAGCCTGCTTGATTCACAAAAAGGCAACCCAGCCATTACATTCCAACAAATCTAAACCCTGGTTCGATCAGGAATGCCTCGCTATGAAGTTTACCTTGCTGGGAAAATATAGGAACTACAGGTCTGTCAATTTTCCTTTGCTCCCTGTAGAGTGGTTTGAAGCCAAACGAAATTACAAAACTTTGATTAAAAATAAAAAGCTTCAGGCCCAAAGGGGAGAGTGGCAATGCCTAATAGAGGCTTCCCGAAGGAGAGGCTCAGCCACCTTTTGGAAAATAGTCGCAAACTGGTGGCAAGATACCCCCTATGAAGTGGAGTATACCATCCCTGTTGGGGTTTTGGAGTCATACTTTCAATCCTTACAGTATATACAGTTAACCAACAGCCATAGACACAGTCGCTGACTCTGAGTGAGGCGGGTGCTGAGTGGCCTCCAATGTCAACTGAAGAAGCTCGTAGGCTTATTCAAGCTCTCAAATCTGGCAAAGCTCCTGGAGTGGACAATATTTCCCTCAAGCTTCTTAAGGCCAAAATTGATTGGTGGGCCCCAGTGCTTGCAGCCCTGTTTACCAGCATAGATCAACTGGCTACCAACCTGGAGGATTGGGGCTTAGCAATTATTCAAGAAAGGGAGCAAATCTGACCCTGCTAATTACAGACCAATTAGCCTCCTAAGCATTATTAGTAAACTCTACACTACCCATGTACATAATAAACTTGTGGATTGGATGGAGCAAGAACATATTCTCACAGAAGCACAAGCTGGTTTCAGGGCATACCGGTCAACTATAGATCAAGACCTAATACTCAGGACTGCTGACACTGACTGGCAGCAGCTCTCCAGTGTTTCAAGCAGGAGGCATTCCTAGCCCTTCTAGAAAACACCCCTCCCAGGGATTGAACCCAGAACCATTTGCATGAAAAGCCTTAGCTCCACCACTGAGCTACAGCTACTGGGTGAAACCTCCTGAAAGTAAAGCCACCACTTTGCTGCAGTAAATATGATTTACTTTAATCAAACAGTAGTAGCATTTGCTTGGAGTATTGCTTCAGGGCTGATTTTACTGCTCTTTTAATACATTAACAGTTGTAAACCACCCTGAGATCCTGTCAGTTGAAGGGCAGTGCAAAATTACAATAAAATTCAAACATTTTCAGATGTTATCAATGAAATTTAAGACCTTGCTGATTATTCTAAGGCAGTGGTGTTTTTTGTTTTTGTTTTACTTTGCTCCTCTCTTTTCTAAAAACACCCATCATCATCCTATTTATTTATTTATATCTCACCTTTTTATCCAAGAAGCTCAAGGTGGCATGCATTGTTCACTCTTCCTCATTTAATCCCCACAACAGCTCTGTGAGGTAGGTTAGCCTAAGAGGCAGTTCGCCAGAAGTGGCTTAGTCATGCTGGCCACATGACCTGGAAGATGTACGCCAGCTCCTTCGGCCAATAAAGCGAGATGAGCACTGCAACCCCAGAGTCGTCCACGACTGGACCTTTATCTTTACCCAGTGAGCATAGAAGGATTTGAACCCTGGTCTCCCAGCTCCTAGTCTGACAGGCTAACCACTATGCTGCTGCTGGCTCTCTATACAGTGGTACCTCAGGTTAAGTACTTAATTCGTTCCGGAGGTCCATTCTTAACCTGAAACTGTTCTTAACCTGAAGCACCATTTTAGCTAATGGGGCCTCCCGCTGCCGCCGCACCGCAGGAGCACGATTTCTGTTCTCATCCTGAAGCAAAGTTCTTAACCCGAGGTACTATTTCTGGGTTAGCGGAGTCTGTAACCTGAAGCATACGTAACCTGAAGGGTATGTAACCCGAGGTACCACTGTACTTAGAAATGTTAGGAGAGCCTAAATTCTAAATTCTGCTTAGTTCAGATGAGAAGAAATCACCTTTCCATTCACCCCCCCCTTTTTTTCTGCTGAAGTCTGCGCTACGTTGTTGAGAAAGAGAGAGTTCCTAGTTCCTTGCTGTGAGCCTTTACAAAATATGCCACAGAGGGAGAAGAGCAAATGTAATTATCACTATTATTCCAATCAGGGCTAATTAGCTGACATCACAATTAAATGCAGGAATTAGATGATGAGGTGGGGGAGGAGAATGTGCCTTAATCTCTTCTGGGAACAAAGATGAGCAGAGGGAGAGAGATGCAAAAGCAGCAACAACGGCAATTATCTAAGCGAGGCTATTACTACAATTTATCAATGAATTCAATACAGCAACATCCTACGCAAGGCAACTTTGGATTGACTCCTTAATGCGAATAATGATTTCCCGCTATCCATGAACGTACTTAGCAAATCATCCCCTGCCCCGGTAACTGTATTTAGATGGTAAGTCTTGGAGAAACAGTCTGATTGCCAGTGGGATTTAATCTACGCTCTGGCGGGAAGGTAAACGGCATTTCCGTGCGCTGCTCTGGTTCTCCAGAAGTGGCTTAGTCATGCTGGCCACATGAACCGGAAGCTGTACGCCGGCTCCCTCAGCCAGTAAAGTGAGATGAGCACCACAACCCCAGAGTCGGCCACGACTGGACCTAATGGTCAGGGGGCCCTTTACCTTTAAGCCAAGTGATGCTCTGGAAGCCTTCTTTTTCCATGTAATTTGTAAAGACATCCCATTCTCTTCTTAATCTTTCTTTTGAGTGATTGCTTATTAGGCTTGTTAATTTGGCGAGTTCTAGATATTCACTTAGTTTTGAGAGCCATTCTTCTTTTGTTGGGATTGTATTACATTTCCAATGTTTCGCTGTCACGATCCCTGCGGCCGTGACTGCATACAGAAAGACTCTTTTATTATCCTTTGGGATGTCCGTTGTGAAAATTCCTAATAAAAATAATTCAGGTTTTTTTAAAATATGTATGTCTAATCTTTTTTATTATTATTATTTCTTCATATAGCATATCCCAGAATTTTTTAATTCTGGGACACGTCCACCACATGTGGAAAAGACTCCCCTCTTTTTGGTTACATTTCCAGCATTTGTTACTAATCTTTTTATTCCATTTAGCCAATTTTGCTGGAGTTATATACCACTGGTACATCATTTAAAGGAAATTTTCTTTAATCGTTTAACAGGCCGTGAATCTGATATTTTTTTTGCAGAGGTTTCCCAATTTTTCTAGCTCCATATTATATCTCAGATCTTGCGCCCATTTTACCATTACATCTTTGACTTACTTGTCTTTAAGATGCCATTTTAATAATAATTTGTACATTTTAGACAGGGTTTTTTTTTTTGTTACCTGAGAGGAGTTCTTTGTCTAGTTCAGAGATTATTTTGTCAAACCCGTTTTTTCTTTTGTCATGTTCAAATATTCCGTTAAGTTGATAATGTTGCAGCCAGTTTATGCCAATTTGTTTTAGAGTGTCATAATTCTTTAATCTTAATTGATTATCGCGTTCTTCCAATAAATTTTTATAGGTTGGCCAGTTGCTATCCATGTTTTTTCTTTTAACTGCTGTTGCCTCCAATGGTGAAATCCACCAAAGGGTTTTTGGCTCTAACATTTTTTTTATTTCTCTCCCATATCTCAAATATTGCCTTCCTCACGATATGATTTTTGAAACCCTTATGTATTTTCACTTTTTCATAGCCCAAATAACCATGCCATCCCACTACATTGTCCCATCCTTCTATATCAAGTAAGCTGGTATTCTTTAGAAGTATCCAATACTTTAACCATACAAAACAGGCTGCTTTGAAGTATAAGCTAAAGTCCGGTAATGCAAATCCGCCCCTTTCTTTTAGGTCCGTTAATAATTTGAATTTTATTTTAGGTTTCTTGCCTTGCCAGATATACCTTGCCAGAAACCTATGCCATTCCTTGAAGCAATTTGTTCCATTAATGATTGGGATGGTTTGAAAAAGAAACAACATATTTGGGAGGACTTCCAGCCCCTCTCAGGTAGATGCCATTGCCATTACAGTGGTGCCCCGCAAGACGAATGCCTCGCAAGACGGAAAAACCGCTAGACGAAAGGGTTTTCCGTTTTGAAGTTGCTTCGCAGGACGAATTCCCCTATGGGCTTGCTTGCAAGACGAAAATACCTTGCGAGTCTTGAGATTTTTTTCGCTTTCCCCCTTTATCTAATCTGCTAAGCCTTTAATAGCCTTTAATAGCCTTTTAGCAGCTAATCCCCTAAGCCTTTAAGCCTTTAATAGCCGCTAAACCGCTAATAGCGCTAATAGCGCTAATCCGTCAATGGGCTTGCTTCGCAAGACGAAAAAACCGCTAGACGAAGACTCTCGCGGAACGGATTAATTTCGTCTTGCGAGGCACCACTGTATAAGAGAACAGTGCTCGCTTCGACAGCACATATACTAAAATTGGAATGATACAGAGAAGGTTAGCATGGCCATTATAAGAGAACAAGGGAGGTGTTTATGGTAATTTCTTGCACCTATTTTTCTAGAATAACACTAGTTTTACTTCACCAACAAAAGAGAACTCCTTCCTTGTCTCCGTAGCACCTTAAAGTTCAAAGAACTGTGATTTAAAAGGAACAGAAGTCAAGTGAGTAGGAAAAGGATTAACCTTCCTTTTTCTGCAGATGCAATAGCCATATATTTGTTTGTTCAGAAAGGCTTTTAAATACTTCAGCAGGCAAGAGTAACTGATCCAGTGGCTGGCAAGCAGTGCTGTCAGGCATGGTGAGACTGGACCTGTGCTGTGGAAAAGGACAGCCCCAAAGGGGAGCCCACACACTCTTTTGAGCTGTGGCAAGCTGACAGTCCCACAAAAGATGATGAAGAAGACATCTGTGGGTGGCCAATTGGTGTACAATATTTATCTATTGCAAGAATTGCTAGTGTCTTACAAAGCTCCCCCACGCCTAAGAATTTTTAGGTCCAGCTCGCAATGGGCACTTCCAGCTCCAGGCCTTTCAAAGTTAAAACTGGTGCCTTACATAAGTATATAAGAAGAGTCCTGCTGCTTCAGGCCAATGGCCCATCTAGTTCAGCATCCTCTTCTCCTAGTAGCGAACCAGATACCCTGGGGGGAAACCTGCAATCAGGAACACTCAGCAGCATTATTATCTCCATCTGTGGAGGCAGATCACAGCCATCCCAGCTAGTAGCCATCAATAGCCTTCTCTTCCTGCATGCATTTGTCTAATCCTCTTTTAAAGCCATCTAGGTTGGGTTGCAAAGTTTAACTATGTGCTGTGTGAAGACTTTCTTGTAGCTGTCCTGAATCTTCCAACATTCAAGTTAATTTGATGTTCGTGAGTTCTACTGTTATGAGAGAGGAAGCAAAAACTTTTTTCTATCTACTTTCTCCAGCCCATGCATCATTTTATAAATGTCTATAATGTGATCTCTTATTTTCCCTTTCTCTAAACTCAAAAGACCCAAACCCTGCAACCTTTCTTCATCAGGGAGTCGCTCCATACCCTGATAATTTTGGATGCCCTTTAAATAACTTTTTTCCAAATACAATATCCTTTTTGAGCTGAGATGAATAGGTATCAATTTTAACATTTGCATTTTACCGAGTTAGGAAAACTGTGGTCCTGTTTGCATGCAAGGTGCATATATAAACTATTTTTTGCAAACACTTCCATATTTTTCAGTTTCACAAACAGAGATTTCTTCTCAATTACCTCTGCACCCCAGTTTTACACACTTCCATGTATCAAACAATTTATGCAAAAGAAATGTGCATGGAAGGTTTGCATCAGGGGGATTTCAGAGTTCATTGGGGAGGGGGGAATTGACAGCAACATGTGGTCTGATGGCCCCTCCCCTTCCTTATTTTTTTAAATGGGACATCCTGCCTGCAATATTATAAATGGTGGAGAGGAGAACATGTCCACCCCAAGGTACAAAACCAGATCTATGCACCATCTATTTTGGAGATAGCAGTGCAGGGAGTTGAACTAGATGACTTGTTTTGTTGATTCCAACTCTACAATTCTATGATTCTATTATCCAGCATAGCATTAAAGTCTAAAAATGCATCACTTGTGGTGGTATGGTCTCTATCTTTAAAACACACACACACAGAGAGAGAGAGAGAGAGAGAGAGAGAGAGACCTTGGCAATCAACACCAGCAATCCCAAGAAGTCTTGAAACAATCCTACGCCTCACACACTGTGGGAGACAGGAATGTGGGGACAGGAGATGGGCATCAGCCAGTAGGAAGCCACTGAAAGGACATCTGTTGCCGCTGCTGCACCAGTGAAAACTTTGCAAAACTGAAAAGCTAAGCTAAGCTACTGCAAATGGTAATTTTCACAAAATTTCCACTCACTCCCTACCTAAATGGCCAAAACGTTTGCTTCCTGAAATCCCCACCACCATCATAGAATCACAAAATTGCAGAGTTGGAAGGGAACCCCAAGGGCCATCTAGCCCAACCCCCTGCAATGCAAAAATCACAGCTAAAGAATTTCTGATAGGTGGCCAGCCCAACTCTGCTTAAAAACCTCAAATACACTGTAAATTTGTTCTGGTCAGCCTAGGGTACCCAATCCACCTCAATTAGGATCTGGAAGAGACCAGGGTTCGATTCTCTACTCGGTCATAAAGCTCACAGGGTGTGATCTTGGGGGCCAGCCATTGTCTCTCAGCCTAATCTACATCACAGGATTGATGTAATCCTTGGGGATTAAATGGGGATGGGGAGAGAACCATGTATGTCACCTTGAGCTCACTGGAGAAAAAGGTGGGATAAGAATTCAGTAAAATAAGTAAAATCCTACAATTCTGGAGGGCCGAGTTCTTTGCATCCATTTGTTCTTGTGGGTTTGGGCCCCCAGCTGTCAAGCTCTGTGTGAGCAGTAGGTTTGGCACTCCCAGAAAAGGCAGATAGCTCCCCATCCAGAGTGGTTCATTCCACTGGAGGACTCTTAAAAGCACATAAATCTCTCCCTTCCATACTTGCAAGGCAGCTCTCCCTTAATTTATAGACATTCCATGAGATGCATAGGGCCATGCTGAATACAGGCTGGCTCCAGCTTGTTCAGACAGATTCCTCAGCCCGGCTACAATGTTCACCACCAAAAAGCCGTGTGGGCTGCTGTATGCCTCCTGTTATTTCTTCCCAACCTTGCCCAGTTCACCCTTTTGGGGAATTCAGGCAGGCTTTTAAGAACCTAAGAAGATCCTGCTGGACTAGTCCAGTGGCCTATCTAGTCCAGTATCCTCCTCCCACATTGCCTAACCAGATGTCTGAGGGAAACCTGCAAGCAGGATTCAAACACAAGAGCAACACTCACCCCTTCTATGGTTTCTAGCAGCTGGCATTCAGAAGCATTGCTGCCTCAAACTGTAGAGGGCGCAGCACAACCATCCTTGCTAGGATCCTTGCCATCAATAAACTTGTCCTTCTTCACTAATTTGTGCAACCCTCTTTAAAAGCAATCCCATTTTTTGGCCATCATTGCCTCCTATGGGAGCAAGTTTTATAGTGCTGTGTGAAGAAGTCTTTTCTTTTATGCATCCTGAATCACCAAACATTCAGCTTCACTGGATGCCCACACATTCTAGTGTTATGAGAGGGAGAAAAACGGTCCTCTATCCACTTTTTCTCCATGCCCTGCATAATTTTTTATAAACGTCTATCATGTCACCTCCTCTTCTCCTTTTTCAAGTCCCAAACACGCCAAACTTTATTCATAGGGGAGTCATTCCACCCACTTTATCATTTTGGTTGCCCTATTGTGAACATTGCCCTATTCCACCACTACAGTACCCTTTTTGAGGTGAGGTGAACAAAACAGCAGTACTCCAAATGTGGTTGCACCATAGACTTATATAATGGCATTACGATATTGGCTGTTTTATTTTCAATTCCTTTCCTAATGATCCCTAGCATGCCCCACCCAACCTGCCTCCCCACCCCCCACTCCTGGTTGAAGGTACTGCAGCAAAAAAATAAATAAATAATCTTGTTCTGCATTCTGTAAGGTTCTTTCTCACAGTTAATAATAGCTAGGGAAGTGTCTGGCCCAGGTTATTCTCATCAGAATAAATTGTGAAAAGTAAAGTCACTTGACTTATTCTGCATTAATTTACTTTCTTCTTCTAGAACTCTGCAAAAGGTTTTAAAAAGAAGGAAAGGAAAGGGGAGCCCTGTTTTCAGCTCCACTCCTGCAGAGCTTGTTTAATCCATGAAGCAGAACCATCTCCCCAGCAGAGTTTCAATAAACAGCTTCCTTGCATGGAATGGGGAAGTGTCACTGGCAACCTACTAATAGGACAGTTTATGTTTCGTGGGCTGAGGGCAGCTCAGAAGGTTCAAAGTTGCTTCTTCATGCAGCACTTAGTTAAACTGTGGAACTCCCTCCCGCAGGAGGCAGGGATGGTCACCAACTCAGATGGCTTTAAAAGAGGATTGGACAAATTCATGGAGGAGGTGAGGGCTATCAGTGGTTGCTGGCCATCATGGCTCTGCTCTGCTCCCCACAGTCATAGGCAGCAGTATTTCTGAATACCAGTTGCTGGAAACCGCAGGAGGGATCTTGCACTTGGAGTCTGCTCCCTGGTTTCCCACAGGCATCTGGTTTGACCACTTCAAGGACAGGGTGCTGGGCTAGGTGAGCCCCCGGGACTGATCAGCAGGGCTCTTTTTATGCTCAACCTCCGGCACAAGTCCCACTTCCAGTCATCTTGCTCACGTGGCTCTCTGCGTGAGCTCAGGCAACCTTTTCATGTTGCTCCGCAGTGAACAAATCCTCCCTTTGCTCTACATACAAGTTTGCCAAAGACTACTGAGTTGTCAGAGCAGAACCAAGGCCAGGTTAACAGCTAGCTGCCAACACAAATAATTTGTTTCCAGTTTCCCTTGCTCCTTAATATTCGAATACCCCTGATTTTTCCTATCTTGGGTAAGTTAACTGCAAAGCCTGCAGAAAGATTTGGAAGTTGCAAAAATGAATGTCATGGTTTAGAATTTCCATATATTTGACACACACAAAGAGAGGGGAAGGAGGGTGGGCTATAAATTAGATTTTTGTCCCAAGATGCATTTTGGCACAGAATCTGATTAGAAAGTGGGAAACCAAAGTTGCATGAAGCAGTGAGAGCCAGGATCCAGGTTTGCTTGAACTTTAAAACCATGTAGTCAGACTCAAAATTGGGCAAAATTTCAGGATGCGAATTCTACTTTTATATTCTATACAGTTTTTTTAAAAAAATGAGGAGAGCCAGTCATGGTGTAGTAGTTAGAGCAGAGCTTTCCAAACTGTGTGTCGTGATACATTAGCATGTCAGCAGCAGTGTATAGGCGTGTCGTGCGAATGCTCCTTGTGCTCCTCCTGGGGCTGGAAAGGGGTTCGTTTAACCTCTGGTTTGCTAGTAAAACTGAATTACTGTGGTGTGATATGATGCATGTCTAGAAAAGTGTGTCACCGACATGAAAAATTTGGAAAGCTCTGGGTTAGAGTGT